ATTTGTTGTACAAAAAAATAATAAAAAAAATTTTTTTACATTTATAAGCCAAAGGGTGACGTCAAAGTAAGGTTGGCTTAAATAATGAGATACACTATTTTCTTAGGGCTATCTATTTTTTTATACTGTTTAAACTTATGCTTCTGTAATATCATACAGTAATCCCAATTTTTTTTCCAATTTGGAAAGCAGTTGTGTTTTTTAAATTGTACCAACATTTTTTTTCATTCACAAAAAAATTCTTTTTGTCTGATTTCATTTAGCTACTTCACTAATGACGTCTTAATTTCTCTTATCGTGGTATATCGTCATTCTTTTATTGGACCCTTAAGTTTGAGGAATAAAATAAAGTTAAAATTGGTCAGATCTGTGAAGTACGGTAACTGATGCAGTATGACTGTATTGTTTTTGATATTTTTGAGTAACTATTTGCATACAAGCAACGATGATTAAGCAAGGTGTAAAAGCTAAGTTTTGTTCTTCCAGAAATCCAGACTTTTTTGGCAGACTGCCTTATGTAAACTATGCATAATTTGCAGGTAATATTTATTATTAACTGTGACTCATGTTGCACCATGCCCATGCTATCGAAGAAAACTGTGAGTAAAACATTTACATTTGACACAAATTTCCTTAGCACAATTCTCGTGATCTTTGATCATTTAGCAGGTTTCATTGAGATAATTGAGCTTTGGCTCTCATGTCATAATTATAAACTCATTAAAAGTCACCAGTAATGAGTATGTGAAACAAAATTGTGCTGTCGTGGATCGAGTCCAACATAGCCTAAGTAATACTAACGTGATGTTGTTGTTGGTATAAATTTAGCAATTTTCGCACGAAATACTCATATTATGGATTAAAATAAAAGGACATAAGCCAACAAAAATGTCAAGGTACTCTGCAAATTGTCTATCAGTGATCTTATAAATAGCTAATACTATTAACTTTGGTTTATAAATGCTTTCTTCTATTGATAACGTGCTCGGAGCTCCAGCACACTCCTTGAAGTTCATATCTTCTCGTCTTTCTGAGAATATTTTGTACTACCGATAAAAATTGCTTTTGTACCATAGCGACCCACGACCCATCAACAGAATAAGAAAAAATTTACTTATTTCCTCTCTTTTTTTTGTAGGCTCAATTTTTTGTGCAGTCCCTCATAGCCCTCTTAAGACCCCTTACTACCTCTTTTGGACAACGTATATTGTTTTTATATTGTAAATGAGAAGAACAGATTTTTTTATAGTCATAAATAATGATTTGGGTGGGAAGATAAACGAAAGGTTCCATGACTGGCCATTCTTTTTTCAATGCAATACAAATGCGATGCTAGTCCAAGCCATCAATAAAATTTTTTGACCTTGAAATAGTTGAAGTATTAAATCAATATTTTTAACAGAAGAGTTTTTTCTGAGACTTTGGGACCGACCATGAAAAAGATTCTAATAATTTGCTAACACATAATTTTAAAAATGTTTTTCGATCACCGTGTAAATGAAAATGTATTTAATGTAACATGTGATTTAAGAAAGCAATTTCTTCAGTACTATTATTTTGGTTTGAGTTAATTTTTTTTTTTAAGTGGTGAATTTAACTGTAAGCATGATTTATCTTTTTATTAAAAAATTCGATTTATAGGCACAGTTTTCTTTATTATCAACAAAAACTTCTGTATACTAACTGTTGTATTATTTTCATGTGTCATTGTCTTAAACATTTTTTAAAATTGAAAACCACGTAAAAAATTTTCATTGTTAATAAGATAATTTTCGAAAGTTACAAGTATACACTTTTGATAAACAAATACTTATATACATATAGTAGTAATATTTTTCCCCCGTGCACGATTTGCGCCCTGTTTTAAAATATCGATGAGATAATTATAATATTAGCTTCCATGCAACTTACGTTTATTTAGATCAAAGAATCATTCTTTGCTTTGGTACTATTCATTAACACATCAAGTATCCTATTATTGCTCTTTTTAAAACTTTAAATAAAGTATGTTTTACATGTAAAAACTGACATTACAGTAAATTTAGTCGTTTCATAAATAATTATTAAAAATATATCATTTAATATCAATAGTTGGCAATGCTAGAAATAACATTAAAGATTGTACAAAATACTTGGTTTTTTTAAACTTATGAAGAATGGAGAAAATTATTTTGCAGACAAAGACAAAAGATTAGTATTNTCGGAAAAGCTCTTCTATTCTCCATGCTGCTTTCATCGTATTTTATTATCTACTATTAACATTATTTTTTATTCTGTTATATTAATTGTTTTCATATATTTTAGCTAATATTATTCAATCAATGTGTTAAGGAGCAAAATTTTATTGTTGCGATGTAATGTTATAAGAAAGGTGCATGTGTTAGTCCACGTTTCAGAAATTCTTTAGTATACATGGAAGCTTATACTTTACTAAAAATGTTCTTCAAGTAGTATAATCTGAAGGAGATTGTTATCAAGAAACTAATAATCTAATAGATATATTAGAAACATTATTCTGAATAGTATCTTTTTGAAACTTGGATAATATTCTAGTTTTTTCCATTTGGAGTTACATCTTACCACATTTCCTCATCATAACCATGGCATCTCAGTATTATTGCTGTGTATATCGAGGACTTTTAACTTTTATGGATTGTAAGATAGAGAAGGATTACCGTTTTTTTTTCAGAATTTTTAGAATTATTTTTAATTCTATTTTTTTTGTATTCTATAAAACAGTTTAAACACCATGCTGTTCTGTTAGTGGTTTATTATTCGTATGTTTTTACTGATCGGTTTAACGTGAGAAAATGATTTTGTAGTTTAAAAGTTTCTTAACGTCTTAACCTTCATATAAGTGTTTGTATTGTTTAACAATCAGATTTTCTTTGTAAATAATGAAAAGTCAATTTCGATATCTTACTTGTAGGGGATTTCACGCGTAAAGCCTGCAGATAGAGTCCTACTGTGTACTACGACCTCTAATTCTTTTAATTATACCCCTAACTACTTGACAGTGGTTAAAAAACGGCTGAAAATTTTTTCTGTGCCAAGGAAACTCCAAGAGAATCAACATACAATTAATATAAGTGGTTATATGTTACAGGTCGGATTCGTTGCCCAGTGTAAGAGAGCGAAATTGCTCAGATGGTCAATTGTATGAAGAAAAACATCCTAAAGTAGCTTTTATCTTAATTCAAATTATCTGTTGAATAATCTGTAAATCCCTGCAATATTAACAACGATGATTTTTGATTATTGTTTTATTAATTTTTCCTTTGGTAGTTCTTTGTTATTTTAAGTAAACTTATTTATACATTTTTGGGTGAAGATAAAGTTCTTATACATTAAAACTTCCTTTTATTTCATATAACTCAATGTCTTGTCTGCTTGTAAACTCAGCAATAGATAAAACAATGGAAATTTCCAATTAATAAAGTTGTACAGTAAATAACAAAATCACTTACAATTAAATTCTCAAATAAATTGTAAATTATATTAGGACTCGCAATTACTTATGGAGTAGTAGGTTAAAATAAATAAAAACACTTGGTTCTTTTATTTCTTAAATTAACGCAATTTTATTTTAATAAGAAAATTTTGTTTTTAGTCACGATATTGTTCCCTTAAATTAATTAAGACAATTAGCACAATTTAAGATTAGTAAAAAATTATATCTGTTTTATTTCAAAGGATTTAAATTTCGCGTTTGGATACAAAAATTATATTTCCAATTTTTATTTTCACCTAGCTGTAAATGAATAAATTTTTAATTCGCTTCCACAGTTATGTGGTTAACCTAGGACAATGTATTAAGACAGTCACAAAGAGTTATTCATAGATGCTATGCCTATTTTGCAAAGTCACTTAGGGCTAGGTCGTCCTCGGGGCTCTTGAGTATTTTGAGCACAACTCTAGTAATCAACCCAGGTACTTTGCCCAAGTATCGTCGTCACAATCCCTAGTATCCATACTACTTGGTTGCTCTTTCTCTCGGCTCGTGCGCGTCGTAGTAAGAACCAGTGCACGGGATAGTTCGTCGTCTGGGTAGGCAGCGAATCTCCGCGTCCTAGGTTCGCTGGAGGAGGAACATATTTCCTCGAGTGTCAGCGTCTTTTATAACCAACTTGCAGATAATTCGCCGCCGTAGTCTGTGCTATCTCTCTGTACACTATCGATTATACATATTCGCCGATGATCCTCGTGCATATGTTATCTAGCTTCTTGCGCATACTTGACAGCACACGTGATTTGCTTCGTGCCGAACCTTTCAAATTTTATTTTGGTGAATTTAATGTATTTTTACTAATTATTTTAAGACAAATTAAAACAAATTAAAGGATATACATAAGAATGAGAATTTTATACTATAAATTTCTAGGTGATAAAGAATGCCCCCTTGTAGTACATTACTGCTCTTAGTAAGTAGCAGCATATAACTAAATAAAAATTACCATGCACAATTATAAAAAAGGTTTCGCAAAAAGCTTTAAGTTTCGATGCTATTAACTATAACAAAAGTTGCAAGCAATGCGAGCTAACCGTATGTTTTGGACAGTGTAGCTGGCTCCAGTTGTATTTGGACACCTTTATATGTCACGATGTATGAAGTTAAGATTTTTTCAGATGGCTCCCTCGTTTCGTAAACGCAATGGACCTAACCTAGCATATAGTTAGCCTAACCAAAGTTTAAACCTAGCAGTAATAAAGAGGCAGATGTATAATGAGTATTTAAAAGCATTTTGTTTAATAATCTAACGTTTGAAGGTATGTTTCTGAAATTTCTTACAAAGTTTACTGAAAGTTATCAATATTTTAAATTTTCTAAGAAATTCTTAACAGTTGTAAAAGTAAATTTTTACATTATATTACCTAGTAAAAATTTTTGAATGAATTTAAATAATTTATACAATTTTTATCATGAAGATGTAATGGATCTTACTTATGAAATAATCTTACCTTGCAGTTTCTAAAAGACATGCTGCAGCCTGGAACTCTCCTTAGTCATAGGCTAATAGAGCTAATTCAACTGTGGAAAAAGGAAGCAAATAAGTATCATCTTCAATGCTTCTACCCATTTTCAAAACTTGTTTAAGGTAATCTTGGGCTTGCAAATATAATTTCATATGTCGGAGACAAGTTCCTTTAAGTAGCAGTATAAGTCTTGTATTATCTGCATGGTATTTGTTTTCTCTGGAAAGCTAAGGATTTTCGCATGAAACTGGAATCGATTACAATTTTAAATTTAAAGCTTAAGCAAATTAATCTAATGTCTTAGGGGCCTTGCTTTAGCAAATCGTCTTCTTTTTCTAAGACCTTGAAAACGTGTATGAGTCTATCAGATTGCTTTCCAAGTATTCTGAAAAAAATTCCAAACATACATTAACTCGTAAATGGGTAAAACTAAAAATCTTTTTTGAGCAAAATAACGCTCAGTCTTTTTGATAACAAATTTTTCCATAGGAAGTGATTTTCCAGCAATACGTTGTTTGAATTTTGGAGTCAGAATCATCAATTCATCTATTTGTAACTGTTCCTTACTTTTTAAATCAGGTTTTAACATAAGCATAACAGCAGCTTGTTGGTAAAAGTATACTGTTTTTGACCAATTAAATTCTTTTGAAAGAAATTCAGAAAATTTCCAGGCACTATACCATTTTGATTGTATATAATACACCCACATAAGTTCCCAATAACAAAGATTATGAAACTGAGGCCAAATATCTTGACTTACTCTAGACTTCTTATACCATACAATACTATTTTCAATACCACTCTTAATAAACTCTAATTCTGCTTTTAGAAACAGGAACCATGCTCCTTCTGGATACATTTTAAGCTGTTCTTCTAAGGCTTTTTCACACCATTTTCAATCGCCATCAGAGTAGCATAAGAATGAAGTAAGAATTAAATTGTATGAAAGTAGTGTCATAGTACATATTATTTGACAAAGTCCTCTTTGCTCTTCATGACTAGCTTCTAGTAGTGAAATGCCATAATTCTAAAACAAAAAGTTTCTCTAATCATTGAAAACATAAGCTTAAAAAAAACTACTATTCTTACATGAATCAAGTACAGTTTAAAAGCTTGTGCAACTACTGAAAGAAATATGACATTTAATTCCCAAAAAAAAAAAAACTAAAGCAGTATCCACATTTTTTGTATAAATGAGCTATCTTTCCTATTTTCAGTTTCCTGAAATTTTATAGATACTTGCAACCTTTGAGGCTTAAAGTTATAAATGTTGAATACCGAAATTTCTAAAATACAAAATGTCATAACAGTTTTTTACAGTATTGATGTTTCGAAGTCTCTAGATGAAAATAAAGTAATGCAAAAAAATTAACAACAAAAAATTGAATCATCCATTAAACAGACTATCAAAGCAAACTAACTTTTTTAAAATTGAACTTTTTTTAACGAGCTTATGATGTTACGAAAAGTTTTTTAATATAGATGTTATATGAAAAAAAATTTTTTTGCAAATTTTTAAAGAATGTAGCTATTTTATAAAACTAAGACAATTATGATAAAATAATTGGACCAATAACAGTCTTTCTTTGAAATTCTTACTAGAAAAGTGGAAATTTAGTGTTTACTCAGACAATCAAGTGTTTGGTTAAGTAACGATCATTCTTACACGATGAAAATAATAAGGCTCAAACATGAAGCAATTTTTGTACCAAAAACAATATTACGTGCAATGGATACCTTATATGATAAATCTAAGTTAAAGTACCAAGGCATTTTTTCTATAATATAAAAGTGGTCTTTTCATGCTCATTATAAAGAAAAAAAGGCCTATTTTTAGGTCAAATAAATACAACTGCAATGATTTTTATAAAGAAAATAATTTTACTCTTCTTTCTTTGCTTTTAAAAAATACTCTTAATTGTCTTAGAAAAACTTGTTTATTTCAAAGATAATGCAAACTTGTTATAGTATACAAACAATTGTCATTGGTATCATAACTATTCTTTAAAAAAAATGTCTATTTATCATACCTTATTTCCAGAGAATCCTACAAGTTCAAATACTTTGATGATTCTGGCTGGTAATATTGATAGTATCTGTTAAAAGTATTTTATTAACCACAAATCACAAAAATCAAAAATTGTTTTAGCAAGGTACTACTTACTAAATTGAAGGTCCCAACACCCATTCTAACACCACTTTCGAAATGTATGCGATGAGCTTGATGTTTCCATTTTCTTGTTTTTAAAATGTGCAAACAATCCCTAAAAAAGAGTATTTCTATGAACATAAATAGAAATGGATAAAATACAGTTATATGTATGTATATTTTTTTACTGTATTATATAGTGAGTTTAGAGGGTCATTCCACACAACCCTCCCTCCACCTCTCCATAGCCAGCTTTCACCCTCCAAATAAAAATAATACAATTCTTACACTGGTTACGTTATTTTTTATTGGATAAAATTTGCATCAAGCCCTCTTTTAACCTCTCAGCCCCGTCGCTTAATTTTTATGATCTCCCTTTAGCCCCTCTTCCACCCTCTTCCCTAGTCAAGCCTCTAAATAAGGTAAGATTTGTTCGGTTTTTAGCTTATTTTAATTGAGCTAGGTTTTTTTTACTCACGCCACTCATTGATGATATGTCTTACCATTATTAATCCTACTGTTATGTAATAATAATTATAATCGTAGTAAATGATTAAAAAAATTTTTAATAATCATTTCTGTCACTTACAATAACTATTTCATCAAAATAACTTTTGAATTCTTCAATTTTAGCACAATTGTCATTTAAAGTATCACTACTTTGTTACTTTAATTTTTTAATTGGCTTTTTATTTAATTCAAATTATTGTTAATGTTAGAGTTTTAGTACTCTAATATGTTATGATAACCTCAATTAAGATTTTTGTGAACAGTAAAATCAATTTCACATTTTTTTCAAAATTTCCAAAGGTATAACGATTTTCTTCATCATTTGAAAATACTTTCACGTAAATCTTGTACATTTCAACTAAGCTTTTTATTTTGACATTTTCTATTTTCGTAACTTCAAAAGGTAAAATAACTTAATATAGTATTTAACTAATTTTCAAAATTGGGGGGTTGGCGCTCAGAGTGCGCAGGGGGCGAAGCCCTACCAAAATATATGCGAGTATGGGCGTGTGTGTGTGTGATATGATAAAAACAATTTACTTAATTTGGTTCCCTTTAAACTTATAAGAAAAAGATATTAAGAAAAACTGAATTACGGTTGTTTGTGTGACTTTTATTGGAAACATAAAAATCTCTTGAATTTTAAAATTATATGGATAATGTGTGCCTAATTAATTTGTAACAAAAAATACTTGGGTCATCTACCTAGTTTTTCAGAAAATGGCTACTTAAAATTCACCTATTTATCACGCATTCTTATGGAATTTATTACTGAAACAACTATAACTCTAAAGGTGATGAACCTTTACAAATAAAAATTTGTACTTTTTTTTTTATGTAATTTTTTAGAATCTTGAGAATCATACGTAAGCCGTTTACATTTTGAGGAAACTAAGGAAAAAGTAATTTGGCATCTTCTGCGTATGCACAGATAAAAATAATGAGTTTTTATCACTCTTCATACTGATATTTTATAACTTTTTGGCCAATAAAACTCTAAAATTTGAGTATGTGATTTAGATATTTAATTATCATGACAACGAACAAAGGATATTTTTCATAATTTATGGAACTTTTAGGGGCCCCTCATTTAGTACAACACTAAACGCCCAAGCCTTCTTACTACATTTTGTACACATGATTTGGCTGTACAGTAGCCCAATTCTTGACGCATCTATTTATTTATTATGTTAGTACTTCGTTAGTAAATTAGAATAACTTTAATACGATTTCTCTACATAGTCTTTTATAATATCGGTTTTTTTTTATACGAGTCAGTGTAAGTTGTGATAAGTTTGGTTGATGTCATATGTTATGTTGCAATATGCCATTTATGGTCTTATATGGGGTACATTTTTATACGAAAGCGTGTAGAAAGTTTTTGCATGAAAATAGATATTTGTCACAAACACTAACTCTTTTACATGTACACATTTTACTTATAAGATCAGGGATACTTTCGAATGGTTTAAGCATATACTATAAGACTTATGTTACTGTTGATGGTCAATGTGTAAGGATTATGAAAAGCATGTAGTGAATTTTTTTAGTTTAATAGATTTGGAAAGCTCATTTCTTTGTGTACTTTCAAAATTATTGTGATAGAGATTATGAGTCCAGTAGGTGAACGAATAAAGATGCAGGACTTTTCATTTAGAATGTAAAAGAATTAGAAAAAAAAATCTTACATCGTATTGCAAAATATTGATAAATACTATCAAACTTATTATATGTGCTAAGGGGATACTTTCAAACATCAAAAAATATCTAAAAAAGACTAATTAATTAATGATAATACCAGTAGATAAACGACATGCATTTAATAGATAGACAAATTAAAAAAAATTGTTTTGAAAGTAATTTTTAGTATTGCTTATTGTTGTGATAAAAAAAACAATAATTTTTAATTTATATGAGTATATGTTATGATGTGAATTGAGAAAATTGCTTTAACTTAAATGAATCCGGTCATTAAGTCACTTATAAATTTACAGACTTATCTTGTTTCATTAATCATGTAAGTTTTAGCACAGGTTCAGGCACTATGGTACACTTTTTTTCATATTTTTTCAATTCACAATTGAATTTTGCTTTAAAAGTGGTAAGTTATATTTTGTTTGTTTGCTGAATGCTTGTTTTTTCTTTTTTTTTATCTTCGGAAGTTTTTTATTTTATTTAACGTGTTCCCTTTTTACTGGATTGTTTTTGTTAAAATTTTAACATTTTTTGCTCTTTTAGTTCTTTTTTTTTTTGGACTTCTGGGCATTCAAAACCATCTTCTTTTGCATCATACGTTATAATTTACAAGTCCACGGAGCTTCCCATCATCTAACCGTCCAATGTTGTCTGCAGCAACACAGCTGTTGAAACACTTGTTGATTTTGAGGTTGGAAAGAGAGTGTGTCCTCCTGGAGACGAACAGGTGCAAACTTCCATGAAAATAAGACTTTCAGCAGGAGTTATAGAAACGGTGCATACAACAAACCTTAAACAAGTACGCCCAAAGGTACAGAGGAGTAGTTTAAAGGTAAAATAGGCAAAGCAAAAAAACGAGCAACTATTGCGCTAGTTATCAGAGAGAAAGAGAGAGAGAGAGAGAGAGAGAGAGAGATGGTGAGGAAGAGAGAGAGAGAGAGTGGAAAAGAAAAGGAGAAAGAGGGTAAAAGAACATACGTTGTGACGAGCGAAAAGAGAGGTGGGGTCAGCAAGTTAGATAAGATGTACTGTTAGTGCCACGGTTGCTCAGTGATTTATGCTACGATTCTTGTACCTTAAGAATTAGCAGTATTTACTCACAAGTTAAAGGCCAGATCTTCATTCATGTAGTTCTAGACTCTAGAAAACTAATTTTTTATGTTCGTACATCATACTATCATTAAATAGATTGAAAACCAAGTACTAGATTCACATTCATTGAATCTATGGGAGTTTTTTTAATGTACTGATAATAGTTATATACACATGTATAATAACGTGGCAATGTTAAACTTAAGATATGAGTCACATAGGGGTCTAAAACCTATTTCAGATGTCAAAAATCTATCTTCAAGTAATAAACTATCTTCTGTACTAAAAAACTGAAAAAACTATGACCCACTAGAAGCTACCATGTGCGTGGCACATGATTAAATTTAATAGGCGTGATTTAAGTCTGTGGTAAGAATGTGACTTCACAAGAGGAACCTACGATATGTTATGCGTGGAATTACCTGTTGACCAAGCACAGACAACCAATATGTAGACACAGACAACTATTATAGTTAATGTTACGTTCCTAAATTTTTCACTGCAGCAGTAAATCAAATTTATTCTTTGCGCAGATCATCTTTACGGCAGCTTTCTGAAGGTACTTGTGGATTAATGATCAATGCAGAAGTTACCAAAATAAACCTATTGATTGGAAGATCCACCACGACTTCATTGCTCTAGGTTTCCAAAACCACCAGTAATGACGAGAGAAGCGCGTTGATCCCCAAAAAAAAACTGATTGGTCAGGCAATCTGCCTCTCTGTACTAGCTCGCTGACAGCTATTGCAGTCTCAGCAACGATGCACGGACTTCCTATAGGCATTTTAAATTTTATCGAAATTTTTTGGAATATTTTTTACTAACCAACATTTTTGTTAAAGCCATGGAACATTTGGAATTTGGTTAAAACTCTAGTTATAACCGGTCTTTTGAGGGTTAGGTTGCTTTGAACAGAAAGGAAGAGTTATGGGTAACAGGAGTCGTCTTCGAGGATGTCGATCTGTAGTTGTGATTGAGCAGAAGTAGGCACCCTATGCTAGAGGCTACAGGCAGTACAGTAGAGTACTACAGTGGAGAGGTATAGAACTTCTGCTGAATTTCGATGACACCGCTGGAGCCGCTGCCGCTGATGGGTCGTTTGGCATAGACTCGTGGCAGTCGAGAAGAGCCCGTTGCCAGTGCAGTTCGGCTAACAGAGACCAGGTAAATATCCCCTGTCACATGAGCCACAATAGGATAGGAGCCTCCCCATTTTTGCGCAAATCTGGCATGAAGCTGTTCTGGAGACTTCGAGAGTCACTGCCGATAAATGGAGCCACTCGTCTGAGCTGGCTTGAAAAGGTCTAGTGGACTCATCCATTTTGTTCGCATGCGTGTGTAATGGTAAACTTAATCTTCTGATCAAGCATAGTAGTTTTTTTTTTCTTTTTTTTTCAGTTCTACAGTTTGACTTAAAATTTAGAGTGTAGATCCCGAAGAGGAATATCAGCATGATGCGAAGCACTGATCAAAGTAGCTGTTCGAGTATGAATGGCGATTGGCCCTCTCTGTGAAGGCTAGCTCAGATTGGTGCGTTGTCCGACGAGGAGTTGGAGCATGGGCCTCAAACGGGAGCATCGGCATGATGCGAAGTATTGATGCCAGTGTGTTGAAGCGGATGTTTGAGCATGGATGGCAACTAGTCTCCTCTGGGCCGTCAAACTTAGGTAGTGTAACGTCCAATGAGCAGTTGGGGCGTGAGTCTTGAAGAGGAGCATTGGTGTGATGCAAAGCACTGAGGCTTTTGTGTCAAAGCGGATGTTCGAGCGTGGATGGAGCGTAGGTCCCGAAGAAGAGTATTGGCATGATGCAACGTACTGATGCCGTTGTGTTGAAGCGGGTATTCCAGCAGGTTGGTGACCAGTATCCTCTGTGCGGGTGAACTTAGGTGGTGGCAATGTAGTTATGATACAGTTTGGCCTGTGGACCAAAATGCCTGACGAGTTGGTTGAACTAGGTGGATGGAGACCTCTTGCTTGTTTCTTGAAGGATGATAATGCCAGCTGCAGACTCTCTGCTATTTGAGTAAAGAAATAGCATTACAACAGTAGCTCGGTCCGAGAGATTTCAGTGACAATGTTACCGATGATTATTGCGTAAGCTGATGCCAGCTTTTATTTTCTGCGCAGGCTCGTTGCAAGGTGTAACAACCTGCTGTGTAACTGGTGTTAGGGAATTTCAACGATGGTTGGTTATCTTGCTTATAAATTAAAATTAAATGGTATTATTGCATGAATGTAACGTACAACGACTATCCTTGACAACGTATGTGCGAGGACATGGCAGAAAAGTTTATCTTTCCAAGTATGAGCGTTTAGGTGCAAAATCGAGATTTAGGTAGGGTACGGGAGTGACATTTTGACATTATTTTCTTATTTATCTCTTAGAGGAGTAAATGTATGACTTTGGAAGTTTTTTCCAAGAAAGTTTAACACTTTTATGAAAAAGTATGCTTCTGAAATTTCTTTTTTTTTTAAATGTTGACTGGCTCCATCAGTTATGTAAGAAAGTTTTTTTTACTACAAGCTTAGATTTTAAATAATTTATTATTACTTTTGATACTCATATGCATTAATTATATCATCATTTAGATTATAGGAAATAGCAGCAATACTAAAGTGCTTGAGTTCGTCTTTTTTTTATAATAAATAACAACTATGAAAAATTTGGTTAATGTTCCAGTAAAAAATAAGGTTGAGTTCTGAATAACAAACGCCTAATTTCCCAAAAAATCACAAGTTACAATAAATTTTCTACCTTTAAGTTATTATTTTAATTAATTAATCGAAAGTGATTGCTTCGTAGCAAATAATCATGAGTTTTTAGTTTTGATGATCTTTCTTTTAATAAGTCTACGAAAACTTGAGAATTTAAAGTTCGTCAAGCAATGATGCATCTGCTTGTTTGAAATCATGATTCATATTTGATTTGCAACAGTCAACATTACATTAATTTATATACCTCCGTTATCTGCAAATGAGGAGGATTCGAATAGTACAGGTAGAATTGGATTTTAACCCAATTTAGCACTTAAAACAAAGTTTTTTATACTTCAGCACCGCGCCCACTTTTGACTTTTTATTTTGCAAATATCTCGCAAACTATTGATCCGCAAATAAAAATTCAAGTGGAGGATAAATCCGCAAGTAAAGAGGAATCGTTTAAGCCTTGAATGGGTGCAAAATATTAATATTTAATATTTACCTTGGGTATTTCGCGTAAAACGCTTTATGTGTGTGTGCATGTATATCGCGTTTTAAAGGTTATACATTTGTACCTGTTATAACCTGACATCTTTTAATGAAGTCATTACAGTACTGGCCAGTCCTTGGTATGAAGCTGCAGCTGTATAGTGGTAATTTTTTGTCAGGCGTCTTTTTTTCTTTTTCTCTTTCTCAACTACATTCTGTACACTCTCTTTTTCTGTCAAAAAGATTTATGCTTTCTCTCTCTCTCTTTCAATCTCTATCTTTGTTTTTGTATTTTTCTTAGTAATATTAAAATTTAAACATAAAAATCAAACAACGGAGAGAGCAAGTCGAGACGACGAGTGTCTAGATGTAAGCTTACCCCACGTTCAGCTTTAGTTGTAGTGTCCTTCAGAGTGGTGCACTCAAGTTATAGAACATGATTTAAGTAAGTATTCAAGTTCATTGCTCAGATTTGTCCTTAGGAGACGAATTTTTCAAACTTTTTCGCAAATGTCCTACATTATTTGATTTGTTATCTATAATCACGACATTAGTTATCTGTAATTTGGCCAACTATAGTAATCTTAACTCAAGTGTACAGTCAAAGGATGAACTCTGTGTAAAAATATAATTTTATCTCGACTTAAATATGTATCTTTTTTTCCATTGTTATTAATTAAATAATATTTTATAATTTAATTTTGTTTACTTTTGTCACAAAGTATTATTTGCTTATACCTCATAAGAGTTATGATTCTGTAATTGTTAACTAACCTTCTGTAATAGCCATTATGGACTTTAAGTCTCTAGCCATAGAAATGAAGTAATTTAATCTTATCTTGTCTAATCTCTCTCTCCCTCCTCTCTGTCTCTTTCTCTCTACGATCATGATACATATTTTAACACATCACTCTTTTCTTTACCAAAAAAAAATCTACAGCGTATCATGACCACACACACATACACACACACTTATCGACATGTCCGTCTTTTACTTTCATTTTCTACACATATAAACTACACCTGAGAAATCTCAACTCTGGCACCACCTACGAAGTCTCTTTCCCACACTTTTCTATCAGTGGCTATGTTTACCTCGCAATACGCTACGATACCTCCAGACAAGCCATCTCCATTAGATGACTGCGTTATGCTCTCATGATGACACCCAGTGGAAAATTTGTCGTCGATTCATTTTTATGTTGTTTACTCGAAGTTATTGCATGATTGATATTAATTAAATGGTCGAAAAAAATTTTTATTTGTATTAAGATTAAAAATTTATCTATTTTTTGTTCCATGTTTAAAAATGTTCCTAAACTTGTGTTTCTGCGTACTTAGTGTGGACAGCTAAAGATGAAATCTGGGGTTCGTTTATTAAAGGGTAAAATTGTGCGTCAGTTTTTGGAGATGAAATGGCTGTAAGAGAGTCCATACATATTGTTTCTGGAAGTTGCTTCACAAGTATTTACTGGTAACTCAATGAATTTTTTGCAGTGAGTTCCAGATTACTCCTTAAATGTGAATTGACTGTTTGTAAATGCCGTGTAGGGCGTATCTGTGAATAATTGTGTCTAGATTAAATAGAATGGTTCTGAAAATTATGATTATTGTCATTAAAGTGGCGCTTGCTGATCCTAAGGAAATGAATTTTAATCACATTTTATTCGAAGGGTTTTGAGCAAGTATTTGTAAAGTGTTTTTGTTGAAGATGTAGAGGAGTAAAAATTGCTGTGCAATTTTTATTTTTCCTGTTATAGTATTTTCTAAGCCAAGTGAACTAAAGTATTTATAAGTTCGTTTAGTGTCTAGTTTCAGTCATTGCAAATCATCTTGGGTTATAAATTGTGGTTATACTTTGTACTATCGTGATCCAAAATCCAACATTACGGGGAGTACTGTATAGCATCGTATTTTAGTGCCATTTTCTTTAAGTATGTGAGTGCATGGAGCTAAGAAGTATGGTTTTTTTTTCAGAAAACTAGTAGTTCCTTGTTGCATGCGTTATTTTTTCTTGTGAATACTTCTGTTTGTATACACTTAATAATGTGCGCTACCCCCCTAGCTAAAAAGCTGATATATTCGAGTAATCTGTTTACGTATCCTATAAAGAAATTTGTGTAGCGATTACGGTCGTATGAGTCAACTGGGATTAAATTTAAAAATGCGTATCTATCAACACTGTCAATACAGTAATCGTCTGTGGAAGTACATGATATTCCAATTTCAAGTCTTATTTTATTATTGCTTAAATCTGTGGTATTGTAACGCTCTTTTAAGTAATAGTGGCGTAACCCTGCGCAAATACATTTTTATATCCACCATGCATGCATGTAAACATGATTCTGTGTTTTAATAGGCGTCATTGGACCCACCAGAAAATTTGTCATTAGGTCTTACATAAGCTCTTGCATAATTTCTCATGTAATTTCTTTTGTAATATCTTATGTAAGTTCTCATATAAGTTCATTTAACAGACTTGTGTCAGAACTTCTACAAGAACTTGCATTCGCTTTTTAACCAAGAACTTACATAAGATCTTATGTAATTTCTTATGTAAGTTCTAGTGTAAGTTCTTATAAAAGTTCGTGTATCAGTCGTTTCAACGTATTCAATTACTATCTATCTAGATACACACATGGTGAAATTGAACATTTTTTCTGCATAAAAGCTGTTAGAATTGCTAATATAAATTAGTAAATACAAAAAAAATCATCTTTTACTTCCACTAAGGGGATTTGAATCTGGTCCAGAGACTCTCTAGTCAAGTGTCTTACCCACTTGGCCAGAGTGGAGTCGATACATGGGAAAGAGTTGACGTCCTCATAAGGTACATCTGATACTGACATCGATGTTATTAAGTCCTCAAGTTATTGCTGTTTACAATCTCTGATAGTAGTTAAGAAATGTTGTTCCACTTTTTTTTTAAATCGACTACTTTTTGAAAAAACTTTGTTTTATGTAAAAGGTTATATTTTTAGAATTTATATAATTTTTTGAGTAATGTATAAATAAGAAAGAACTTATTTTTGCTGCTGGTTTTCGATACCAACATTAAAGTATTGAAGAGAAAAAGTTAATCCTCAACTTTGTTGTGGCAATTACAATAAATTTATTATACTTTTAAAAATAGATTATTTTTTCCTTAGAATAAAAAGTATATATAAGTATATTCAAATAAAGTCCGTGAACGAAAAGTAGTTGAGAAATCAATTACTAGATTTATTGTCAAAAAACGCATTATCAGACTCAAAACAATTTTATACGTACATTTATACAATTTTTATTAACCAATGACGTAACCAAGGAGGTAAATGTTATCCACAAAATAAAATAAAAAGCACTAGTTTTAGAAGTACCTTATGAGAACGTCAATTCTTTCCCATATATCGTATCCACTCTAGCCAAGTGGGTAACACACTTGGCTGGAGATTCTCTGGACCAGGTTCAAATCCTCTTAGTGAAGATAATAGATTTTTTTTTGGTATTTACTAATTCATATTAGCTAATCTAACAGTTTTTATACAGAAAAAAATTTTAAAATTTACTGTGTATGTATGTAAATAGTAATTAAATACATTTAAACGACTGGTTCACGAACTCTTGTAAGAACTTGCATAAAAAATTACATAAGATCTTATGTAAGTTCTTGGTTGATAAGCAAATGTAAGATCGTGCACAAGTTCTGACACATGTTCTACTTAAAGAACTTATTTGAGAACTGACATAAGAACATATGTAAGAAATTACATACGAAAGTACATAAGAAACTATATAAGAACTTGTATAAGAACTTATGAACAATTTTTAGCTAGGGAGCCTTCGTAGTCCTCTAATTTTACGAACAAGATTTTCGTATTGTTACTGGAAATGTCTTGTATTATGTTGTCATGTAATGTTATGACTATTGCATTCATTCCTCGCTATTTCTCTGAGGTATTTCATTTCCCCATTTTTTATTACTGAATTATGCTACCATGTGCTGCAATGTTGTTCCGTTTCCTTAAGCCTAATTAAGCAATACATAACAAGTGTAGATGTGTAGTCGTTTAATTAAATGAGTGACACGTATACTCTGGTTGAGTTTACAACTGGTTCCGGAATATCGCATTCTCTTATATTGACTCAAGAGACCATTGTTAAATTAGCAAAAAATTGTCCGAAATCATATCCAATGAATGCAGTGGCTTTAGTGGAAATTTTGGCAAAGATGATCAACCATACGATTGTTTCATCTATACAATAAGCAAAATTTAGGTTGTTTTCTGCAATTTATTTCATTGTTTCATAACTAAACGTGATTGTTTGGCAGCACATTGAACAAAAACGACAACGAGAATGAAGACAAGCATTGAGTGAGCAAAGCAAGAAATAATATTAAACTTAAACGTAGGTGGTGCATGCGTATGTAGATATGTTTTTTTTTATTTTTTTTATTTATTACTATTTATCAACGGGTCATCGAAACGTATAAGAGGCAGAAGTGGTTGTTGTGTACTATTTTGCTGTATGTTTCATTGATCTTAATTTTTACGTCTCCGTTTTCCCATTTATCAAGCACTAAGTCATTTCCTGAATATTAATCACTAAACTTTTGGGGCCCTGACTTTTAGGGCCCTGTAGAAGCCATACATTGTCTTTTACTTTTATTACTTTACAATATGATTTTTATTGTTCATCTTTGTTGCTTTTTTTTTAGCCCATTATGAATTTTTCTTGAGTAATCTCATGCAGGGTATTTAGTTTAGTGACAAGATCAATCATGTATTGTGTGTATTGTGGTAATATGTCGTTTGTCTTGAGGGGTTCGCTACTGCGTAGCCGGGCCACTTTTCCATAATCTAATTTGAAAGGTGTACGTTGTCTGCTTTTGCGTTAATGAGTATCAAAATTAAAAGTCACTAATCTTACCCATTCATCCTACTGGTGTTCACTTGTAACAAATATTTTAAGGTATTCAGTAAGAGGATTATGTGATATTTGGAGAGAGCCGTGTGATTAGGGGTGAAAAGCTGGTGTTGTAAATTGTTTGATCTTGAATCGATTAGCGACTCTGTTAATTGATTAACTAATAAAGTTCGTGCCTTGGTCCATCAGTATTGCTGCTGAAACTCTATAAATACAAATGAATTTTTTAACAAACGCGTCTGCTATTGATATGGCAGGTTAATCCTTCATTAGTGCTGCTATATCAGATTTTAAGGATAAGCATTGCGTTGTTAGAATGTATTCATTATTTTGTTGCGTGGCTGGTAACGAACCCACTATATGTATAGCGAGTGTAGCAAAAGGTTTGGTAAATATGTCAGTCACAATTAATATCAGAGATTAGTAGGGAGATTGCTGACTTCAATGCTACAGAGTGTGCCCACTCTTTTCCACTGTTTCGAGCGCCCCGTCGTGGTCAAGTGCTGAACCCGGTGCACACATTTTTTTTTAAAGCATGGTAGGGGTGTGCGCCTATGAGGAAAGGAGTAAATTCGCGTGGAAATGTCCATATAGGCTCATATTTGGGGGACGTGTAGAAGAGGTATACTGCATGTGCGTCTACGAAGAGAGGAGTGGAAATGTCGGCTATGTAGCTGTATATAGCTAAGCGCACAGCTAAAGTAAGCGATGACACGAGTTTGTCTCTTTTGACTGCAACTAAGTATATTCTACATACAGTTAACTGACTTGCTTCCACTCTTGCTTCAATGTTTTCTATCAATCTTATTTAATTAAATCGTGGAGCTAAAAGCTCATAATTATAAGCACAGACTTTTGATTTCAATACATTATTTTTTCATT